TGTGTGTGTGTGTGTGTGTGTGTGTGTGTGTGTGTGTGTGTGTGTGTGAAATGTAGGGCTACCAAATCTGGACTACAAAAATCCAGACGACTGTTAGATAATAATAAAATGTTATAAATTTTCTGTATGCCTTTGTGGGCTTCTTGGAGCATCTCAATTTTTTTGGCTCAGCTTGGTAGCTATAGTAAATGTTTATATTACATGTTTAAATTTATATTTGTAAAGCATTGCAATACAACAAGCAATAAATGATCTTAAAATAATATGTGCTTCCTAAGAGACAATTGATTTCATATAGGTACATCACACAACAGTAGAACAGGATACATTTGATACACTGGGAGCAGATGTGGGCTGCTCCATTCCCAAAGGGTTACCATGGAAATGTGCCTATTTAAAATGGGAAGGGCCAAAGAACTGTCAAATTGAAGCTGCAAACTCAGATAACTTCGACATGAAAACAGCAAAGAGTTAAATTTTATACATCTTCTTGGAGCTCTCTGCAGATATGTAACCAGATCTATTATCCTGAACAAAAACATTAAATTTTCAAGAGGTAAATGAACTTATTAGGATGCACTATCTTTCCAGGGGATAAAAAGAGATCTTTTAAGAGTCTAAAGGCATTCCAATAAATAAATGGAAAAGACCAGTGGTTTGCATTATAATATTGATTGGCTGATTTGATCGATGCCCCACTTTTCATGAAAGAGCTCAAGGATGCATAGTGTTCTGTCCTACTTTTCCTCTTACCACAATAAACCTCTGAGGTGTTGAACTGAAAGAGACCAAGAGCCAACAGATGATCATCCATAATTGAGGGGATGGACTTGAACTGAGGTGTCTCATTCCTAGTCCCTACCCCATACTTACCTGCTTCCTAAAATAATCTATTTTCAAATGCAGTGGAATGAAAAACCTGGTAAACATAAGAAAGGCATTGGTGCTTACTGTTTTTCACTGGCATCAACCAATCTGTCAACTCAAAGAGATTTTCTGAAAGTAAATTAGAGGAGCACTTTTTCCAGAGGTATCCTTTTGTTTACAGAGAACAGAAAATAAACAGGAAGCTTGCTTTCTACTTCCCATTCTCTCTGTCTCTGTAAACCATCTCATTTGGCCATTGCTTTGGCTGAACACAACAGTCATTGTTTTTTTAAAGCACAGTAATTGCAAACTTTATTCAACCGACATTTGATTTGAATTCCAACTTAGTTTTTTTTGTGCTGCATGCTTATTGTGTGAATATAATGATATATTTCAATAATTCTCTGTGAGAATCTGAGGTTTATAAGAAGCTAGTGTAACAAATGATAGATGTGCACTAGTAAATATGATGCCAAAGAGCTTAACTATGAATTTCTTTTCTTTTGAAAAATTTTCATCTCTTTAAATAATGATGGTATTAATCACAGGAAAAACTTACTACACACACACACACACACTAAAAAAACATCTAGTAGCTCATAAAAGAAAGGACTGGAGACAAAATAAGAGATAAATTTCAAGAAACCTAGAAAGAAACAGAAATGGGTGTGAAGTAAATAATTTTCCAAACTATTTCTGAAATATTATTATTCTATTAGCTTTAATGTGGAACTAAGACAGGTCTAAGGCAAGGCATACTATTTTTCCAGTTTTACAAATTAGTGTTGTTTTTTTGCTGTTGCATAAAGATAACATTTACTGAAACTCTGGGATTTATTTCAAGAGATTTGAAATATATGTTCTGTATATAGTCTCACACACTTACACAAAGTTTTAAAAGTACTGTAAGTGGAGCATGAGACACGTTTGCCCAACTATTAGTGAAATGAAAGATTATTGCACTAATAGACAACTGAACTTTAGGAAATAATTGAATCAGCCATTTAGAAGAAGGGTGAGGGAGGCATCTTAGCTTCCTGTGGACTAATTCCTTACATTACTGCCCAACCCAAAGTGACAAACTGCTGAGAGCTTTTGAGATGCTCCGCAGACTCAGCGCAGTTTGATGTATGCAGTGACCCTTTCTGGTCCAAGATAACGCAGAGATGTATTCCCAACATAGCAACCCCCTCACCATCTTTACCTGTTGGGAGCCACCGGAGCGACCAGGTGGACATTCGTGGGGGACCGGAGGTACCTCATCACTCTGGGGGTGTAGTCCGTCGCAGCCCTGCTCTCCATGTCCCAGGTACTGGCAAGCAAGAAGCAAGCAAAAGAGACCAAAGTTATCCTACAGTATCCAGCGAGAGGAGCGGTCAGCAAGAGCCCCAGCACGCGCTTACCCATCGGCTAATCCTTCTTGTAGTCCCCGCGGGACCTTGTCCTACGTACACCCGATCCAGGATAGCGGCTCCCCCATTTGCCATCTGTGCCCCCCGAACTCTGTTCCCCCTTCCTAAGCCACGCCTCCCCCGTGGAAGGTCCGGGTCTCCTCCGCCTACCTTGCGCCCCCGGCGCCCCCGGCCGGGAGCCGCGCCAAGCACAGGAAGAGGAGCAGGCTACCGATCAGAGCAAGCAGGGCAAGGACCGCCCGCATCGTGCGCTCGCCCGCCTGCAGCTGCCGGGGCAGCTGGACGGCGACGCGACCCGAGAGCTCCAGAAAGAGCGAGGAACGGAGGATGAAGAAGCGATGGCGATGGCAGCCCCCTGCTGCAGTGATGGCAACCCAGTCAGGTCGGCGGCAGTGTCGGTGGTGGGTAAAGGAGGGGCGGCGATCGCCCGCCCAGGGTCGTCTCCTCCTCTTTGGCCGCGCCGCCTCCCCAGCTGCTTCAACTCACGAGGAGCGACCACCGCCAGTCCCGCTCGGTGGCACGAGATTCGCTTCCTTCTGGGTCTGACGAAGCCGAGGGGAGGGGAGCACCTTGTCCCAGCCCTGCGTGCATCCCTTGGCAGCCCGCCTCCATTTCTCTCCCCCGCGGTCTCTCGCTCGCTCTTCTGTTGACACCAGCGCCTGGAGGAATAGAAACGGGGTGGGGGTGGGTGGGAGGGAGGGAAGGGTGACGCGGGGAGGAGATGGTGGGAGTAATCGGGTGATGTGAAAGAGAAAAGTGGAGCGAAACCAAATATTTTCCAGCACCCATTTTCGAGCAGCAACTGGTGTAAAACGATAGGAAAAGAGTGCCTCTGAGCATGTGAGGAATGATAGAGCTTTAAGGACAATAACTGGATTTTAATCTTTTCCTGAAGATCAAGCAAGCATAATGTGAAAAGGACACCAGAACCCTTTCTGAATTTAATGATAGCATGCAGGGAGTAAGATTTCAACTCAAGCTTTGATAGGCTTGTAAAAACCCTCTATGTAGGAAAGGCTAAGGCTACTAGTAGAGTGGAGGAATGCCAAGCCCTCTCATGTGAGCAATTTTTTGCTCACTTTTCCTTGACAGGTAATAGTGAGAAAAGAAAAATAGAAGAGGGCCAGCCTTGCCCCTCTCTATCTCTTGTCACTAGTTACTTTTGTTACCAACAATGACACAATTTGCTTGAGAAGATCACTTCTATATCTAGCACCTGTTTAGCTGCAACTTTTTCCTTGACTGAGTTTTTATTTATTTATTTATTGGTCATGTGAATGTACAAGTTAGTTACTCATAGAATAATACAAGCAAACTCATTGGCTGCATTCACTGCATTAACCTGGTTAAGAATGAATATATTTCTTGAGTCCATAGCTTGTGGAATATCAGGCTGTCAAAGAGTAGATCTAATGTATTATCTCCAGTATCAGGCCACAGGTCCTATTTGTACTTTTTCCAAGGCTTGCCTAAACAGCTATTTCTGGAAAGGACTGAAAACGCTGGACTGGAAGAGTGTATACTCTAATTCAGCTATACATTGTCTTCACTCTTTGTCTTTTTAATGTGGAATAGGCCATATTGTTTTATTGTGGGAGGGTTACATTCCTTTCCGAACCAACTGTAGGGACCCAAATGTAGTGGGTGGATGAGGATATCTGTGGGGCATGTGCCCAGGCCTGACTCAAGCATGAAAGCTGGCTGGATGACTTTAGGCCAGTTACTTTTCTTTCAGACCAGAATACCCCACAAGGTTGTTATTGTGGGGACAATAGAAGAAGGAAAGTATTATGTATGTTTGTCAGCTTGAATTGGTCATGAAAATAATGTGGGATAGAAATCTGATATACCAGACAAGTAGTAGGCTGGACAAAACCAAATAAATATATTTGTTTTCTGCCATCTTATTCACTGCTCTTTCCCCCCCCCCCCCACTTCTCTTTGACTCTCTGTCCTCTCTGTTTCTTTGGCCTCGCATATCCAAAAGACTAACAGAGATTATCCTCCAAAAGTCTCAACTGTTTGCCTATGGAGATGAAATATAATCACATGAAATATAATCAAGGGCACATTGAAGAGGGCCCATGCCCAGTTCTAATAGTTATTCACCCCTTTAATCTTAATAAAAGGACGTATGTTTACTCTTGGATTTGGCCCTTGATGATCATGGTTTCCTCATTGGATTTGTCATGGACTTTGGAAGATCAAATACCTATTCTTTGTCTTTTGCTTATTGTTTTAACTGATCTGAAATTTACAAGCATAGGAAGGTTAATCTCAATAAATCTCAGTCAGGCAGACAAGTCAAGAGACTTGTGCAAAGCTTCTCTTTAAATTTCAGTGCTTTGTTTTTACAGAAAAGTCCTTCTGGAAATTCTGTTTGGAAGTTACAGCCAACCTAGTATAGTCTATCACCCACCAACATGGCAAGAATTTTTCCTCAATAATTGTATTAAATATTGTATTATGCAAGCAAAACTTCTACAGCTACAAAATGGCAAGTCTTTTTCATTTATGGATAATTTAAACAAACTCATAGAAGATTATTGAATTGGTTAGAAAAAGAGAAAATAAAATCAGCTTTCTGAATCCCTGTAGGGTTTCCAAAAGCTGTTTTGCCTCAGATAGATGTTGACAGAAACATGTCATATGTGCAGGCACATCTAATACAAAGTTATTAGTGTCAAATTTTTGTCTTCCTGGGGATTTTGCACACAACAAGTTATAAAGATAGTCACTTGATATGCAAAATACTTGTGTGCCTATGTCAGTGTAATTTTTACAGTAAGAAACATTGGGAAGGGGGAAGTTCTTATACTTGAACTCCAAAAAAGAGGGAATCATATTCCAGTTAACTTAACTCTTTTTATTTCTGTCCTTCAGAGATGCTATTTCAATACATGAAGAGGCTTTTGATGCTCTGAAGAACATTTATTTTTAGTGTGCCATAAATTTGGTACCTGTTCTCCCTCCCCTGCCATCCCTCCCAAAAATTGTACCACCAATTGTATCAAAGTGTTGAGTCAACATTTTTGTGTGCAAAAGGGTGAAGTTCTTTATGATCTGTTTCATAATGAAATGCATTCATAGTATTGAACTTTAAAACACTTAAATGTACTTCAAAATAAATTCTTTTTTAAGTGTGGGCAATACTGAATATCTAAAAAGTGAAAATTCTTTTCATGACAAATTAGAGGACATTTGACAAAACAGAAATGAAGTCAAGGATGATACTCAGATCCAGTAAAAATTCTACAGAATCAAGACATTCCCTAATTAATGTGTCATGCTGTCTCCACCTGTGGTCAGCCAGATGTTTCTGGTAAATTTATAAACAGGACCTGCAATTTTTAGTGAACAGCTGTCCCCTAATGTCAGTATCTGGGTTTCAGAGATCTATCTTCTCTAAACATAAGTATTCCACTTAAGTAACTACATGACTACATGATTTCCAATATAGACCCACTTGAATGTTTCTTTCATGCCTGCTAACATGCAAATTAAGGTAATAATGCTTAATGGTAGTTTAAGTCAAGGGCACAGAATATTGTACAAGCATTTGAATATAATAGGTCACTTTATGCAAAGCAAAAGAAACTCAGATCACATTCAGACAACACATCAAATGGAGCCAAGGATCGACAGAGCATGTGATTCATTGTTTCTTCCTGTCATCCCCCAGGCCTTGCCTACAGCCACTGCCAGTTTGCTTCAGACTTTTCACATTATCTATCTAGGATCAGTTCCTTTTTCACTGCTTCCTTCCTCTATCATCTGCCATGGCTTCTTCATGCTGCCAGACCAAATAAAAAAATAAAAAATACCTGAAATAAACCATGTATCGTTTGTGGCTTTTTTCCCCTCCCTGCCCCCCCCCCCATTTGTTTAAACATCTATGCAACCTTGGCTGGTTTTTGAATAGCTATGCAGAGATAAATGTGGATACTAGGGTCACCATGATATTTCAGAGCTGTAAAATATTTCAAAACCATATCCCAGAAGGAGATAGTGGGAAAGATAGTCTAAACTGGAGACGGGAAAGAGCCAAGTTAGTTTATGAACAAAGTGGAATCTGGTAGTACATTCAAGATTAAATTTATTAGGATGTAAGCTGCTCTCAAAATCTTATGCTCTAATAAATTTGATTAGTCTTGAAAGTGCTGCTAGACTCCGTGTTTATTATTTTTTTGTAGTTTTGCCAAGAAACGTACAAGAAAGTATTCATGTATTTATCAGGTGTTCTGCTTGAGTCTTATCTCCCAAGTTAATAAGAGAAGAAGCTTTGGAAAACAGCATAGTAAACCCTAAACAATCAAGAAATGTGCAGGGCCTGTGGCTTATTGTTAGAATGGACAGTGTAAAGACTGTTCTCATCACAAGATAAGATGTAGTCACAATGTCAATCACAATCCTTTTTTAAGAAGAAAATATTTTTTAAAAAGACATTTTGCTTGGTTATCGTCATTCTTAAGATGCAGTCATAGAGAACTGAAATGGCTTGCATATTATTGAAGTAACCACATTGCCTTAATATATATATTTGAGATTCTTTTTTTATGGCCAAAACAACCTTGGTTTTTCATCCTGCAGCTTGATTATAATCAAGGAGAACTACAATAAATTTCTCTATGTTTATCTATGCAGCCAACAAAAAAGGAAAGTTGCAAACAAGTCCCTTTTGCAAAATTTTAGGGATTTATTGGTTATCCAGACAAGCAAGACCAATATGATAAAGGTAGGCGGTGCCTGAGGGTTCTATCTGTACATGTATTTTCCTTGTGTTCAATCACGTCTGATTCTCAGAGTCTGCCTGGACAATTCCCTGTGGTTTTCCTGGCAAGGTTCTTCACAAGTATTTCCCTCCCCCCTCCCCCCCCCCCAACTAGAGCTGAGAGAGTGACTAGCCCAAGGTCATTCAGCTGGCTTTGTGCCTGGGGTGGGAGCAGAACTTACGGTCTTTCAGTCTCTATAGCCTAATCCCTTAACAATTTTTTAAATTTACTTTACTTTAATTTTAAAATTAACATGTTGATGTTACAAATATCAACATGGCAGAAATGCCCCTGCAACTAAAGTTACATTTCTTTTAAAAGTGCAATGCGTGTGCCTGAAACATATAAAAAAGGCGGTTGGACTTCAATTACATGAGCAATCCTGATCTTTATGATCTCTTGTTTCCTTGTCCTGGTTCTTTTGTAACGAATATCCACTCATTAGTGTTCTTGAAACAAATTCTAGTTGCCTC